ATAATTATAAAAGAAATGAACCAAGGACAAACCAACAACAAAATATCGTGCACTAAAAGCCCCAACCCTAACCAAATGATTTGTTGCGTCTTCAATGCTTACAGCTCGATATTACGAAAATTGAACGTAAAAGCAATTGCACATGCAAGTCTAATGTTCATTCAGGTTATATTACATAAACAGAAATACTTGTTATAATGTCATATTAGGGACATAAGCCGATAACTTTTGAATTATATTTGTAATCAATCCAGAGGCCTATATTATTGTTAGCTGCAATTCAAGCTTTCGAATCTTATGAAATATTATGTACTTATGTCAAAATTTGCATAGTACTAATATCATTATTATTATAGAAACAGGATGAAAAAGTTGAATAACAATAAGAAGAAAAAAGCAAACTCAAGCGGCGGAAAATTTTCGGAATATCAGTCTGTCCCCGTCCTCAATAAATATATTTCCCACTTAACGCTCGATTGTAATATTATTAGTGTTTTAATTCCATCTATTTATTTGAAAAACAATATACACGTGTAATTTTTACTGCAAACAATTCGCGAAAGCACAGCTACACTAATCTTTAAAACTAAACCAACCATCTAACCAGCCAACTAGCCCCTCTCCACACAAACAGCGTATTGTAAGTATACATGTAATTCAATAGTATGCTTGTAATGTAGAATTAAAAAAAAAGTAATTTGGATTTAGAACATGATAAGCCACCTATAAAGCTTCTATCTAATTTATTCGAGGCTACTGTGATATTAATTTTTGTATGAAAAAATCAACTTTTAGCTTAATGTAGCATCTGAACTATTCCAGTTCTGGTTAATATATATTTATTGAATTATACAGGACGGACTTAAATGTATTTTAGTTATCAAATATAAGAGTGTATCCAAGCTAATTAAGCTTTCTTTCCCATAATTTCATCCAAATCTGTACTCTGACAAACGAGAGCTGATAAATAGCACATTGCGGAAATACCACACTTTCTGTGTCTCAGAAAATATGTGTAGGCCGAGTTAATGTTTATTATTAAGCACAAAGCTACACGAAGGGCTATCTGTGCTGTGCCCACCACAGGTATCGAAACCCGATTTCTAGTAGTACAAGTCCGCAGACATACAGCTGTGCCACTGGGTTAAATGTTGTTTTTGTTTTTATATTCCCAATCATTAATTAAGCACATTCCTATTCCTAGTCAGCCTAATTTTATAAACTTTTTACTAAGCTAATCAAACACCCCTCTAAAACGCTATTTTTGGCAATCTTGCAAAATCTAATTTAAAATGTCTAATTAAAAAAATCAAGAAGTATCTTTCTTTAAAAAAGTAGTCTTATATTCAAATGGAGTTCCTGAAGAACAAAAAATCCAAAATTTCTTAACGAAATTCTAATAAAATTTAAATATCTTAGGCATTAAACTATTAAATAAGATCTCCAAAACAAATTAATATGGAAACTATTATAGTCTAATTATAAATCTTAGAAATGAGTCTTTTTAATATTCTGTTGTGTATGTAAACTGATGATATATCGTATTTTAACTCATTAATCGTCTTTATTTTCAGATGTACGTCAATTTGACAGCAATATCATTTTAGTACAAATATTCAAGAAAAAAATGAATATTAGCTAAATTTCCTATGTTTCTATGAAATAAAACTTTGTTTCTCCAAGTCTTTACGCCTAATAAAAAAACATATTACCCAACAAACAAAAAGTTTTTGAACAATTTATATCTTCGCTAGGCTTTAAAACGACGTCTCGTTTGATTCGTCCAAACAACTTGTTGTATCGTCTGGACGCTTATTTTCAGGATTTGATAAGTTAACCCTACAATTACAGATGAGATCCATACCTATCAACTTTAAGTTTTCCTTCACTATTTATGCACCAAATTGCTTGAGAATCTGTGCCTATAATGGCCTGTTAAGCCCCTAATAACGTACAAGTTATATGAAAACACATAAACAACAATAGCCACAACACTGTAATTAATCCCACTAATTACTAGTAGGGTCCACTATGTATCTTACACAGAAAATAAGTGATGGCCAGTTCTTTATTGTTATGTTGAAACAGGACTCCAACCAGTAGTAAAAGGTATAAGAACGTGTCAGGAATTTGAAGTTTAAGAAATTTGGGATTAACTGCTTTCTTTATATAACTTGGGATTACTGAAGGGGGTAGTAATAATGTTTGTTTACAGGTATGAGAATTTGAAAGCAGTGATATAGCCTCTGCAAAGTCAAAATTAACACATCCGCCACTGTAGATCTGTTGATAAAAATAAAGATTTCTTAAATGCAGTTTTTAGAAAAAGATTACCCAATAAAATTATTGGTTGTGAAGCCATCGAACAAAACTTTAAAGAGATGCTTATGAAATGTAAACATTGAAAATATATATCATTTTAAATGAATTTATGGTATATGCGAAAGTACTTTTAGGACCTAAAATGGAAAAAAAAAGATTTGAATTGTTTAGAATTTCAAACGAAGCTTTAAGTTTGCTCGAAAATATCGAAGGGAATAAACTTTTTTCCCCCATAAGCCTTTTAATACACAACGTCAAACGTAAATAATACTCAGAAAAACAATGAAACCATCAAATCAATCTCTTTTCTAACATTTTTTTTTTTTTGTGTATAACAGAAGGGATATTTCTGAGAAGAAAGTTACATTTGTTTTGACCTTATAACTGAGTTACAAATAATATTCGTGCTAATGAAATGAAAATTATGTGACATTTCTTACTGACAAAGTTTTTGTATAATCAACTTTTGTTTGCTGCTGAATTTCATCACTGAATGACCAAAGCAGTGTTCACCCAAATTATTTATTATAAGAATGCTTCAAATATGCAAAATTTGGTTTTAAACAATAAAGCATTAAAAGCATTTATTTTATTGCAAAACACAGTACTAAATAAAATTATGTAAAATCATCAAGTATGAGACTTATTTTCTATGAAACTTGGCAATAATAAAATTATTAGTGACGCTCAACAAAACACGCACTTTAAAGTTTATAAAATTAAAACGTCATAATTATATACAATTACAGAAAGCTTTAAATTGATCTAAGTTGATCACAGAAACTGAACGTAATAACGGTAACTTTTTCCACGTTAATCCGAAGTGGTACTAGTACCACTGCTACCAGTAATACTGAACTTCAGGTCTTTATGTTCTGGGTCAATTTTGACAATACATAATGTACAAATAAAAGACAATTTGTACCAAACGTTTTACTTTTTTTCTACTTCAAAAGCTTTACGTGGAAATATATATTACATATTATAAATAAAACAACCGTCCATATGGCGTTACTGTTGGTTTTCAAAACAGTTACTAGGCACACTCTCGTTACGAGTACAACTAGTCCCACTTGACAGACTTTCCGACATTTCTACGCTATAGCCTACAGTACAGTACAGGTACATGACTCAAAGAATAATTGTGTAAACGGAATAAAGATTCGTGATGAAACCACGCCATGCTCATTTTCCTATCTTATGTTTGTCTGTAATGGCATTAAAAACATTAGACTTGGGTATCACCTGTTGAGGAATTATGTCGCACTCGGCTTATTACATCAAAGTACTATTACACAACTCTATGAGGGAAATAGCACATTTCGAAACGTGCGTCAAAAAGTGTTTATGATGTGTCAAATATTAGAATCGCCTTTTTAATATTTGTATTAAAACAAAGAAAAGGTTAGGACATCAGTAACTTTAAAGGATACCGACAATATAATTTCAGTTCTGTAGTATCAGCAGTTACACAGCTTAATCTACAATGACACATTAATAAATCATCCAAGTTCCTTTAGTACAAGTTGTACAATAAATTATCTAACATTAACAACAGCCATTAAAAACTTTCCACTTTGTAAATGTTCTGGTTAATTATTTCCACACTATAAATGTTATATAAATGCATCAGTAGACATTGTGCATATCAACAATTACGTTACGTGTACATTCAGTTAATACAAGTGTGTGTGTGTGTGATTTCTTTTAGCTCAAAACCACACAATGGTCTATTTGAGTTTTGTCCACCGCGTGGAATCAAAACCGGATTTTAGCGTTGGAAGTCCTAACTTACCGCTGACCCACCGGCGACCAGAAGAAGGGGCTGATTGGATCGGTAGTACATATATTAATGTACACAATACAAAGCAATATAGAAATCCTTGTAACACCACATCAAATGAACAATTACACAAATATAACTTACCTATTCAGATATCTGAAGGAAAAAAAAATACCGATTCTGCATATTTTGCTGGCAACTTAAAATATTTCTTTAGACTAAGTCCAAGTTATTAAATGAGCACATATAACTGATCATCAGAATGGTTTAACCACTTAATCAAGAAAGCAACATTGGTCACTAAGTAATCTCGTTAGGATATGACATTAACAGAAAACCTGTTGTTCGAGCAATAGTGCAACTACTCTCCTACTCCAAGTACCCTCCTCATTTCTACAAATTCTGATTACATCACTGGATTGAAATGAGCTTTAAGCCATCAATTATTTTCTTTAATCATCTTGTTAACCTTATTTGAATTTTAAGTGCAATAAATTTTATTAGTGATAATCATAAAGAATTTGTGTGTTCTGAATACGATTTTAAATACTTCATATTTTATTACACTATTTTGAACATGATTAAGCTGGATTTTCTACAAATACTAAAATAACTTAATTTATTTTAGGAATACGATTGAAAATTAATTTATAAACTTCTGCCTTCTCTTGCAGTAGTACAAATCATACTGCAGAAGTGCAAGAGCGAGGTTAATCGTAAAACTAAAAGAACACCTGGCTTCACCTAACCGTATTAGCTTACGCCTTTCACAAACGTTTACTTGTTATTACCAGTAACACACACCCAAATGCAGCTTAAACTTATAAATCTGACATTTCTTCTTGTATTTCCATTCTATTGCTTGTAACAACTGACATAATTAAGTTCTCCTTACCTGAACCTGACGCTGAATTTCACTGTTGATTGTGTTGCTTTTTCATTGATTTCAATTGTTCGTTTACTTATTTAGAACCGTTGCCGTGACGTGTTACTAAGGTTTATGGATAATTACCAGTGATTAACATATATGTATATATAACTTTTTACAGATATATTATCTTATTTCAAATGAACTTTTAAACATCGACTCTTAACCTGTTGCTGCTAGTAGCCTAAAAACACCCTAAACTGAACCTTCCTCTTTTCACCGTACAATAACACAACACCGTAGTCCCGCCAATTCCGTTACCAACACAGGGCCTCCTGCTCTAGCTCTAAATCGGCCACGTTCATAGAGAAAACACGCCACTTGTAAGACTAGTCTACTTTTTACATGGGGAAGCTTGATCTTGGAGGGGATTTCACATGCTTCGAAGTCGTATCAAGTAATCTTTCAGTTGTGAATGGGACATCGATAACTAGTATATTAACTTAATGTGCTACACAGATCATTGTTACTTTCAATGAGAGCAAAACAAACCTTTTTTTTTATTAAGAAAAGTGATAACAAAGTACATAAGTGAGTGTTTCGCTTGTTTAGTAAAGAAGCAAATACCACCACTTTTATCAAGAAAGCAGAAAAACTACGTCTCTATTACTTGGTGGCTTTCACTGAACATTATTGTACTGTGTTAAAGGGAAACACTATTATTATATAGATAATAACAGGTAGGTTTTTGGTATAAAGTTGGCTACATTGTCTTTATTATTTTTTGGCTAAGCCCACTTCTTCAATTCAATTGTTCAAATTACGAAAACCGTTTCGTGTTGTGAGTTTTCTGTTACGTATCGGCTTCAAGATTCGCACATATGTTGTCAATTTTTTTCTGTATGTAAACTTTTGACAACTTTCGTCTTTCTTTTTAACTCCCAGACACCTACTTGTAACACACGTTAACAAAGTATGCTTTCAATTGTCCAGTTTGCATAAATATGTTATATTTACACTCTAATAGTTGAAATGTTTATGTCGTGAACAAGTTCGGGAGGCTGTTGTCAGTGTGGTCACAAACTCATTTCTGTATATCATCTAATTTTAAGGACAACAATTAGTATTCTAAATCTCCCAATGGTTCCCTAAATCATACTGGTATATATATCTACATTACGGGTAGAATCTTCGTTAATGTTTATAAGTGCCATACTCTATCTAGAGTGATATGCCAGTGTTCTAGTTATAATATTCCTGAAATGCTCCAGTATTTGATTCACCAAATTCCTAAGAATGGCTATGGAAGTTCAGGACAAAAGAAAGCAATGCATTGTTGGAAATAGCAACAAGGTACATACGTGTATATGTCAAACTAAGCCTGCATACTTATCCTAATTGGTTTCGACAATCGCCACTAAGTTATGTGTAACTTCTGATGTGCCTTATTATATTAAAACACGCTGTTTGACCCTAATTACAGATATTATATTTTCGTGTAACTTCGCTCTGTGTTAGAATGTGTGTGCTACGCGTTCCGTAGTTAAAGATGGATTTCAACAAAACTTGGCAAACTTTTAGAGATCAGAAGCGCTACACACACACACACACGCACACACACACACACACACACACATATATATATATATATATATACTAGCTTGTCTATCTCATGACTGTTAACTCATGACTTTATCACAGTACATTATGAATAATTAAAAGTTTAAACTTTTATGCTGTTAGTCTTGCATACCGAGCAAAAAACAAATTCAAGTTTCCGTGTTCGGTAAATATGTGATCTAAATTTACGGCAGTAACATCAAGGGTGTATATCATATAAAAATTGAATACATATTCACATCATGTAGTATAAGAGAGTCATAAACAAATATTTAAAGTCAGATAGGATGGTTGTCATAGCAAAAAGATATATACTCATATAGTGTGCAACAGTTGCAGAATCCCTCCACTGAAATGTGAGATTTTTTTTAAACGTCGGCGGCAAACCGACTGAGCGATATAATTACACCATCTAGCGAAACATCTCACAAACTGAGGTTTCATAAAAAATATATATCTAACGTATTTTATTTAATTAACACAGTGTTTCTTATAAGAGGTTTATATTATTAGTTCTATTATTATAAAACGTTTTAGTAATATGTACATGGTCAATATTTCAGTTAAACGAGTAACTTTAAAAGGTTGTGATATGTTTTAACTATCAGATTAAGCCTAGTAAAGTCAAACACGTTTAAAAGCACGTCTTTGTATGTAGAAATGTAAAAGTATCTTCAACACATATTGTTCGTTTTAGAAAACTGAAAAATAGCAGGGTACTTATTGTCTAATATGTTCAAATAACAACTGTACATCGTAGTAAACCTTGGGCTTAAAACTGAATTTGCAGTAGTCGATTTTACACCGTTTCGATTATTGAAAAGACTTAATCAGCAGGGGAATGGGAGATGTTATATGGTAAGAGTAGAAAAAAAAATCCTGTGGATAAAATTCGTTATAATTGTACAATACTTAGTGTTCAAATGTTCACTTCGTTAACCCAGATGATTTTTAGAAATGTCAGAGACCACTAAATGTTTTTCATGTAAATCCTATTCTCTGGATATTTGTGTTGCTAAACAATTTTGCCCATGTAATATCTTTAAGCAATATTTTTTAATGTAGTTTATTTTAACCGTTGACATAACATATTTTTATCAAAAGATGTGGCAAAATTAATCTATGAAGATCTAACCAATCTCCGGTATACAGTACAATTTTTTAAGGGTTTATTGACCTGCTGTACTTTCTGAAGTTTGCAACTAATCGTTTATAATCAGTTTTATCAACTCTTGAATATCTACGTCAATTTAATTCCCGATTATTAAACGCGTGTCTTCTATTTGTCTTCATCTTCTCGCACACCTTATTGCCGAAGCCTAACACTTCCACAATCTTCTTATTTGGCTGTCACAGGCACACAGGTTTAACATACTCTCAGCAATCTTCTTTTATACACATAACGACTGGAGAAAGTTCCCAATTGGTTGGCAGACCAATGTCAGTTTGAAGACTAACTGGCTTTTGAGGTAGAAAGGAAATATCCACAAGAGATCCAAAATCGTTGAGGTACCCCACTGTTACGTCTCCGTTTGTTAACTGATTTTCCGTAACTTCGTTCCGACGAAACTTAAGCGACACAAGTCCTTTCTTAATAAAACTGGTTTATTCTTTCCGAATATAACTTTACCGATACACTAAACTTCAACAATCGCGTTAAACAAACGCTGTAACGTCTCTCGTGCTCTCTGACTGCAGTTCAATTACTCACTGTCTATACACACATTATTGTCCCGTCACGCCGTCACCCTATTATATATACCTGACTACCCTATATCTAGTAAATACTAGAGCATTCGCCAAAGTACAGGATAGTTCTAGAAACGTGGCGTCACAGTAGTCATGTGACTCGCTGACGCAACACCACCTTTATGTCAGAAGCAAGTCTTAGTGCAGTATTCCATAATCCTTAGAATACCTACACTACATCAATTATCTTTCCAAACAAACGTATACGAGGGAGGGAGCCCAAATTCATACTAACCTGAACAAGTCCCTTCAAATAAGTATAAACTCGCTCCACAGGGCCGATCCAAAAATAGGGCCAAGCAGATATGAGTTCTATGGAGTAATCACTGTGCCATGTAACCTTTTGCCTACCGAAAAGGATCAGTGCACATTTACTACCTTTACACATCTGTTTAACAAAAATGGCATTAACTATATGAATTACATATGCACAACAGTTTAGAAAAAAATCATGAATACGTGTTCTACACTAGTTATTGAAGGACAGAAGTAGCAGTTATTTTGTCTGTCACAGTCACAGTTAATACGCTCTTCCTTTCTTTCATTTTAGTTCATTCCAAGAGACCATAGAGTTAAAACTTATGATCTAATTAACAGGTACGCATCGTAATAAAGTGAACGAAGACTCTAACATACGGCAAACAGAGAAACAGCAAAAATGCAACAAAAACCTTCAAAATACTTATACCAGGAAAACCCTCACGAAACGTTTATGGAAATTATAATAAACCAGCCTCGCATGGTAAATATTTCATTGGCTTCATAATGTGTACATGCGTCATTTGCCACGTAGGTCTACAGAATATAGACGATCAGCAAAGGTACCCGTTCTACGTACGGCATTAAACATCCATTTCATCTGGTATTGGTTTCACGTAATTAAAATCAAAATGGTTGCCAGACTTGAATCTTTTGTCTCTTATCTTATTGAGAACAGACTGTAGCGGAGGCATGGAATGACCTGGTGGTGAGGGCACTCGACTCATAATCTGCGGGTCGCGGGCTCGAATCCCGTAACCGAACATGTTCGCTTTTTCAGCCGTAGGAGCGTTATAATGTAACGATGGGTGATGTTGACAAGCAGCTGCCTTCCTTCTTGTCTATCACTTCAAAATTAGGGACGGCTGGCGTAGATAGTCCTCGAGTAGCTTTGCGAGAAATTCAATAAACAAACACTTGATAGCGTGTCTTCGTCTTAACTGAAAGTGTTTTATCATATAATATCAATGATTAAAATCAAATCTTCAAAAGTGATATTTTCAAAATTTTCTGTGGTGCCATGTCTGTCCTGATGTCACTAGAAGAAAATTTAGCGATTTTACTGGCTGAGATTTTGTTGTTGTCATTACCTATGACTGTGGCTGAAACATAGAGTAGGCTGAAAGGGTATTATTTCACATGTTTAAAGAAGTAGCATTTGATAATCTTAAATGTATTACTAACTATGAACTTTAAACTGGAAATGCATCATGCTTGGATAATTGATAAATTTGTTCAACTGCTTAATACTACATGAGTGAAGACGATTGTTGTTGTTTGTTATTAAGCACAAAGTTACACAAAGGGCTATCTGTGCGCTGCCCACCACGGGTATCGAAACCCGGTTTCTAGCGGTATAAGTCCGGAGTGAAGACGGTCATTTTTAGGTTTGTAGTCCTAAGTGACACTAATGAGTTATAATCGTTAATGGCTAGATCGTGTGAAAAATACAAACATAAATCAATACAAAAACTTTAACGAACGAACTGCACATTAAGGCTGTGAATAAAAATAAAAGAGACAACTGAAGTATAAGGCACTACACGAACGCAAGTATAAATCTTGATACATAATTGAAATCCTAACATGACCCACACAATAATCAATTTGTTCAATTATATGGAGCTCTACTCCGACAATTTTTGCGACCAATGAATAAATAAGTTATTTTACTCACTAGTCGTAATCAAAACAGATTAATAAAGAAAAAACGAGATCATTCA